TTTTTCTACCCCCCCCCCTCACACACACAAACCTAATGTGAGGGTATCACGTTAGCTCTCACTGTAACCCTTTGCAAGTCGGTAAAAGATAACATGAGTTGAAAATGTGCTTAGAAGCTGCCTATTATATGTTTGAGTTCGGAACACACTTGGGTCGATCGATGTGTATCACTCACGATAGGGTCAGTTATTCACTGCTGGCGAATGGCTTGGTTGAGCTACTCGATCGGATAGGTTTTTGAGTATAAAAAGGAATGATCCTGTACGCATGTTCACATATAAACGCATGGTGAGACCATTTTGGCAAACGAACGACGCCATGACATAGTCTGGAACAATCACCTTATGACCCAACCAATGGCCGAAACAGGATATGGCAAGGAGAGATAGAAAACCATAGTGCACACAGATATGACTGCCATGCTTCACGCAAATAGATTCTGAAGATCCCCAAGACAGTTTTGTAATGTTTGCGTCTGTTCGTTGGTTGGACTCATCAGAGTGTGTGTGTTTGGAAAGATAGGAGTGAAATCGGGTGTGATCGGACGGGAAACAAGTGAGACCAAAAAGAAGAAATAGAAACAACCGGAGGAGTATTTTGGAATAGGGCAGTGGACGGGCGGATTCGGGATGGAAGAGAATTGAGAAATTTGAGGAAGGAGAAAGGCAGGCGCTGTTCGTGTGAGGCACGAAACAGACCAAAGTATAAACAGCTGTGCAGTGTGTGTGACAGAGAGAGAGCTGAAAACGTTAAGAATGTACCAAACGGACCAATCAAGTGTCTAATACCGGAAACAAACCGGCAAGCGAGAGAAACCACGAACGAACCGGCCAATCAATCAGTTTTGGTCTGAACTGAATCAGGATGTATGATGCTTTTTTAGGCCGAAGGGATTCCGGTAGACGGACAAAGAGAGTGCGACAAAAAAGTAGATAGAAACCACAACGACTAGACAGCAAATGAATAGCATCACTGTAGACGCATGCGAACATGACGATACAACAAAGAAGGTGAGGAGATAGTGTGACGCTACTGGGCAAGGTTCGCGTGTGGTCGGGTTATGCATGTTCAACGCGCTTGGACAAATAAAAGAACGAAATTTGTGAGGACGTGGTAATAAGAGAAAATTGGGAGAGGGAGAGAGATAAGAAAACGATATCAGGAGGTTCAGGAAATAGCAACGCAGAACGGCCACAGTAGTGATAGGATTGATAGCGCCAGCACAGTGATCCAAGGAAATATAGTACTATTGGTTCTCGTGAACGCCTACGAGAATGACTTCGGACAAGTGGATTGACATACCTGCAACTGATCTGAAGGGGTGCTGAGAGAAACGGATCTGTGTCATGGTAAAGGCTGAAAAGAGCCTATTAATGAAGAGGAGATGTACTAAAGTGTATTGATAAAGAGAGAGCGAATAGAGTGAAGGATGTGTCAAGCCAAAAACCGGACGGGGGGGCAAGGCGAAAGAGAACGGGTTAGAGAAAGAGGTAGTGCGGAAAATTAGGGATGAAAGAGCGAAGGAACCAGTCACACACACAGTAACCAAAAGGCAGTAAGATAAAGAAGGAACGAGTAGAATAGGAAATGCGACAAGATAGAAACTAGTGAAGCGTTTGTGCGCTGAGTTTCGGGGGAACCTCAAAAGCTTCTAAAGACCCATTGGGTGTTCTCGTGTGTAAGGGTGTAAAATTGAAGAGAAACATTTAAGTGGGGGTCTTTTTAGTGTCTGTAAGAGAATTATTCTCCATCTGATCTAATTGAGTGGGATGTTCCCCCTCAGGATCCAAGGATGCTGCTCGAGTTTCTGATGGCGATGCAGCCGAACGTTCAAAAGAGGTCGTAATCGAATGTGGGTCGATTGAGAGGAAAGAGGGCCCTGTAGCACCGGTATTACCCATGTCATTTGTAACAAATGCGGAGGACATAAAATTGCCCGGAGACGTGTGGTAAGTTTGTCCCGCACTACCAACGGTTGAATGTGGTCGTCGACCAGGATCGGACAATGGACCAAGTAGCGTGTTACCTCCCGATGTCGATGCAATATCAGTTAGTACCTGGGAAAGTGAACGTTCACGTGCCTCGTGTGTAGATTTGGCTCCGAAAAACTGTGCGCCTTGACCACTGGAGGTCAGAGGAGATAAAGAATCCATCAAACAGGTCAAATTGGTCGTATTTGGACCAGGGCTGCGCTGCATTAAATCGGTACTAGAAGGCGAATGAACATATCCAACGGGAAGCTGAGCATCTGATTGGACCACAATTTCCAACGGAGTCGAGACGAAAATTGGTTGCAAATCGAGTGGACCAGAAACGGTGGAGGAAGAGGAAGATGGGCGGAATAGTCCCGGTGTATTGCCATTTATATGTTGCGCAGCGTGGTTGTTGCTGGCGATGTTGCTTGTACTGTTCATGGCAGCGACAGTGTTGTTGTTGCTATTGTTGCTGTTCATACCGTTCCCGATTGTGTTGCTCATGTTATACAGACCTGGGGGAGGAGCCATAAATGGGGGAGGGGATGTGGGTGGAGCGGAACTTCCCACTGGTAACGGTCGTCCACCTGACATGGAATAAGGACATGGCGACTGCATACGGTTCACGTTTCCCGAAGATGATGAGGAAGNACTTGCAACGATTGAAATGTGACGGATTCACTGAGGACACGGTTTGATACGGGTGTTGTTGTTGTTGTTGTGTTTGTTGGCCAGATGATGTCATACTGGGATTCTGGTCGAACTGAGATGCATTCGCGGTTGTGCTACTGGTTCGTGACTGGCGTAGCTGGGGTGGTCCGAGCTGTTGACCACCGAAACAACTGTTTGATTCTAAACGGGACTGAAGATTCTGTGCTCCTTGTGATTGTATATTTAGGGTAGTGTTTAGTCGATTGGACCCATAATCCGCTGGTGACATTGTCCGACCGGATGCGGTTTGACACAAACCTCGTAGAGCTGCATCCAGTGCACCTATGAAACAATATATGAAAAAGAGATAAGTACGAAAGTTTATAACTCCTGTCTCGTGTATTTTGGACTACAACTGAACAAATAATTACTCCGCTGGTCAAAACGTGAGAACCGTGGCTACTGCATTCCATGGTGCCAGCGGGAAGTGGTGAGCTTGCTCCACTAATCAGAAAAATTGGATGTCATATGATGATTAAAATTTTACAGCCAACGGAACAGCGCGCTACTATCTCCAAGTCGCGGATAGAACGACCACTTAGGTGGGTAACCAGAACCTCAGTGAATAAGTGGTCACGGACAGCCGGTGGCTGTCTGAGGATCAGACGGCTTTTTGTCTGGTAAGTAACCAATAAAACAATAAACCATGAGTGACTGTAGAAGTGTTGTGACGTACACGAACCTGGTCCACCACCAAATATCGTGGTCATTATCATCCTGTTTCTCTACAGGTGGTAATCCATTATGCAATGACTAGAAGTATATTGGTGCAGAAAAGACCCGAGTAGTGCTGGAGATGATACTTTGTAGTCTGTTCTTTCCAATTCACCTCCACGTGGAAGCATGCAGTCTATGAGTAAGTTTGCTAAACGAATTATCCTACAATCAACACGGAACAAGCGCGACAAACAATTTCGGGAACTCGTTTCACTCCAAAATGTTTTACTATTTAACCGTCCGTTGGAGATGTTCCGGTTATGGGATCCTTCGATTGAGCGCAAAGCATAATTCAAAATAGTCGGAAACCGCGGCAAATTTCAGATTGCTGCCACTCTTCGTATCAAATCGCTTACCGGAGCCATAATTATTCTGTCCACCGCACATCGACATCGCAGACAGGTAGTTTACCGAACTCGGTTGATGAGCACCGGTTCCATTCGACACAAGATGTGCGAGACGTGGATCCACACAAGGCAGATGATCTCCATTGCCAGGTTTGTGTGAGCCTGGATGCTTGCCGATTAGCGAATGGGCATTCACAGAAGGGTGAGAGACGGTGGAATACAGAACGTTGTTCTCAACAGGTCCACCGCCGCCGCCACCACCAGCCCCGGTTACACTGCCCAGGCTGGTCGACCACATGCCATGCTGTGGTGGTCGAAATAATTTACTGGTATTCACCGAGTCGTCCATGGTCGATTCCGTTGATACTGGTCCGTTCAACATGTGCATATAGTCACACAGCTGCGGAGTGAGATGCTCCATCCGCATATTCAATTCTACAATCTGATACTCCTTTTTAGTAAGAGTAGCTGGAAAAGGAAAGTAGAGTGATTGTAACATTCACAGTTCAAAATAATCGCACAATAAAACGGAAATGACTGTTTTTAGTTTGATCCAGTTTCATACAGCGCATTCAGCCAAACCGTGGAGGAAATCCATATGACATTGTGGGCCATTGGTACGAACCACGAAGCAAGATTCATCGTGTCTGCAGATGGTGCTTGGATTGACCGAGCGACTTAATGTTTCCCCTAATCAGGTAGGTGGTTTCCGCAAAGTCCTGTACCAATCGTTCTCAGAATACCTACAGAATGGTTCATGTGTTGAGTACAGTGATTAAACCACACAGCACTGATCGTAGGCCCTGAATACACTTTGGTAGGTGAAGCGTAACAGGTGCTGTCCGATTTGTAAGCAGTATCAGTAAGAAGTTTTGCGAGTCAATCTTTCAGTTGATCGAAATTATGTAGGATTTGTATCTGATAAACCCAGCAATTTGTACGGACGATGCGCAAGTCAAATGGCGGCTACCGAATGATCCATGAGGTGGTGTAGTCCTATTGCATCTTTTAATCTGACAAACTCGAACTTATGATTACTAGCACGAAGCGAGGCCACGAGGGCATTCAAGTCATCAATCTACGGTGCCCATGAATCATCACAAAAGAAAGTTTTGTGATTAATCGACAGAACCTCAAAAGAACGAAGAACTAAACAATAAAGAATAAATCTTCAATCAAAAAACCGTGAACCATATCCCTAAGAATGCACAAAATATCACAAATCTCAACAATGACCAAGTGGGAACAGACCACTTCCCATCTGCCACATCTACAATCTACTACTTTTTAACTATAAGGTTAACAAACTGAACTCATTGTAAATGTTTTTCAATTCACTACCAACGTAGGTTCCAATTGCAATTTCGATACACGGTAAGCATCCTTGCCAAGTCGGCTGGATTCCCTATATGTGATTTTGAAAAATTTGTGAACTCGCCCTCCAAGTGAAAACGTGTGGGACTACAATCTACTCAGAAAACGAAGCCGAACACAATTCAGCGCACTAAACTGCAAGGTTCTGTATAATATCGACCCACAGTGTGCAATAAAGATTCCAGACCACTTTCCAAATATTCTTAATGCTCATTTTGATTCGTATTCCACACCGGTCACTCGGAAGGTGCCACCGTGAGTACATGAGGCTTCTTAACGAGCGCGAAAACGACGTGAAACAGAAAGGGACAGTTTGGAAGGCAAGTAGGGTTTAATCCACCTGCAGTAGTAATCATCTCACCTCGGGCCATAATCCCCCGAAAAATGATAGTTCTGTGAATAAGGAAAGACCTC